AGATTAGGTTCCATATCAAGTCTAGGCGGGATCTCGGATTGTGACACCTACTTAAGACTATTTTCCATTAAGTAACTAGCCATACATTCTAAAATTACATCACTTCCCTTGTAATCTATTCCATTTAGGAACTAGCTATGAGGATATAGTCAATTTGTAATGAATCGGTCTATCATTTTTGGAAAATTTTGTGAAATTATCATTTTGCCCCTACCATTATCGACCCTAAATCATTTTTGATTGATTTATAAAGGTTGGTTTCAAACTTCGAGTTAAAATTTGAAAATTTGGTAAGTTTGTGAGTTTTAAAGGAAATATTATTAAGTGAATTTTGGTGTCTTTTGGAGTTTGAGGTGTCAGAATAGAACTTCGTCAATTCCATCAGTCTCTAAATGTGTCATTTGATACATGAAAGTTTTTGGTTTCAGATTCTTAGTCTTTTTGAGGAGTTTAGGATATAAGTTGTGAATTTATGAAAATTTAGCCTTAAGGTTTACTTTGGTCGATTCAATGTTTGGATACTCCGATTGATATTCTAGAGTCCCGTTGGATTTGGGGGAATATTTGAGGCCTAGGTGAGTTCTTGTTTGATTTGAAAGAATTCTCGAGCTTGTTTTAGCCTTTTTAGGTGTAAGTTTATTATGATTTCTAAGGATTTCAGGTTAAAGAGACATTGGATTTATTTCTTGGTGGTTACATTCAGTCTGAACTTCTTGAATAATTGAATCATATATAAGTTTTGTGTGTACGAGGTACTAAACGAATCTTGAGGGTCCTCTCTTTGTTTTGGAAATCGTCCGAAGTTGTTGATTATGCAGGTTTAACTTATGAGAAGGCCATCCTCTTAAGCGAACTTTGCTTCAACTATATGTATGTCACTTAGGCGACCTTCTCTTTTGCGAAGAACGTTGTGCTTAAGCAACCCCCACATTTAGGGCAGGGTTTGCTTATGTGGACCCGTGGTCGCTTGTGCGACTTCAGAGAGGTGTTTTGCTGCTCATTTTCGGGTTTAAACCCTATTTCAACATTTTTTTAAACTTGAGGAACCCTTGGTGGCGAATTTTGAAAGGATTTTTGGTGCTAGATCATTTGGGTTATATGCTCTTGATCCTAAACCTTCATTTTTCATTGATTAATTATAAGTTTTCACAACAAATTTTGGGATTTTGGTGGGTTAATGAGAAGGTTTCAAGAACCCAAGTTCTTGACAAAATGGAGTTCTGAACTGAATTTAATTCCTTTTTTCAAAATGATTTTCCCCTATGAGTTCCTAAGGCCTTGAGTAATGCTTTCATGTATTAAATTTCATATTCAAATATTAACCTTTGTATTGAGTTTTGTGTTGATTGACCTACCTTTTAAAATGATTGGTGTGGGTATTGTTTTTTTAGGAAATTTATTGTGAAGACTTTATTTTATGTAGATTTTGCGGCTTTGGAAATGATTCCAAAGGGGAAGACTCAGCTATTGGAGTGATTTTTGATTGATTTAAGGCAAGTGACCTCTTAAACCTTGTATTCACGTTGAATTTCATATGCTTCCTTCATTGATTTTTTGTGTTGGGAGTAATGGATATGAGGTGAAGGGTTTAAATTGTCCATTAATACATCTAATTGAATTATAAAGGGTTTAAATAAAAAATCCTATGTGTTAAACATGATGATGTGAACTACCTTAATGTAACCCACACTGATCGATTATTGTAATGCTTGAAAGCGTGAATGTGAACTTGAATTTTGCAAGTTGTTATATCTTCTATATGGTGTTATATTGCTTGTACGATTTGATCGTTGAACACTAGAAGGAGACATGTGATGATTGTAATGTCGAGGTCTTTGCAAGTGAATTATATTATGTTGAGGTCTTTGACGGCAAGTGTTATTAAGCCGAGGTCACTTGCCGACAAGCGTTATAATGTCGAGGTCATTTAACAAAAGTTTTTATAAAGCCTATAGGAAATTTTTCATTTAGTTATATTGTGCCGATGAGAAATGGTTCCGGCGAGACATTGGTCATTGTGAACTAATGTCAGAATTGTCTATGTGCGTATTGTTTACTAATTTTAATTGATGTACTTGTTGTGTGTAATTAAACTACTTGACATTGAGATTGACTTATTTGAACTATTTGATTGTTGAATTGTGAAGATTTTTGAATGGAGAATATTAAGCCTATGAGTCGTGTTTTATAGAATTTCTAGGCTAGGTTGATTTCTTTGCAGGTTGTAGTTTGAGGAGGTTCACTTAGAGTGTACGGTATATTCATTTTCAGGATAGTTACTATTTTAAGTAGGTTTCTTGTCGCGTCTCGCGTTGTTGTTACTCACCCCTTGCTTCTACACTTGTGTAGAATACGAGCTCAGATCGGCTTGTTGATTTGTTGCTCCTTTTTTGAACTCGAGGCTTGTGTAGGACTTGAAGAGGTAGATCCTTTTCATCCAACGAGCCATCTTTTTCCTTTTCTTACACTTTGTTCTATTTGAAAAACAAAGATTGAGACTTATACTTATTTCTTAAATTAGCACTTATGTATGTAGTGGCTCGTACACATGACAACCAAATTTTGGGGTATTGTTTAGAATGAATAAGTCTTCTTCTCTTTTCTTGTTCTACTTTATTGTATTTCCATTTTCTATTATATTTGCTTGGTTAAGGCTAAATTTTCTTGGTGGGAATATAAAAGTGTCATCACGTCTTATTTCGGGTTCTAATACAATTTTATTGTTGTAACTCGTTGTCTGAAAGAATGAGAGTGATGTTCATCTAATTAGGTTACAAAAAAAAAGGAAATTTCTAATTGATATCTTGCACACTTAGCACTAGAAGAGTATAATGCCATTAGATATTCGAGTTTTTCTTGAAATCATGGTTATAGCAACCCTAGTATCTTTAATTAATTGACTCTATTTTATTGAAATATTATTATTCTTATTTGATTACAATTGATATAGATAGATATATAATTTTCACAAACCCCTCCATATGGAAATAATCAAATAATAATAAGATAACCACGTTAGGCTTAGTTTTCACCGTATTTGCTGTTGAATTTGACCCCACCCTAGTTGAATTCTATAATTAACAGCTATCGTCTTAAACTTCTTAAAAAAGATATAGTTTGGGCATATCAAAGAATGTTATCACCTGATACATTTTTGTTGTTATTGGTTATTCTTTTGTCTCTTTTAGGGCAAATAAGTTTTGGGCCTTTATTTTGTTTCTATTTCATGCAGATCGTTGTGGGCCTCTATGGTCCAAGACTAATTCATTAAAATATAGGTCTTAGGCAATTTTTTGGTTAAAAAAATAATTGGGCTGCTGACTGCTTGTTGGTGGATGAGGTTTTTAGGCAAAAATAGTGCATCCTATACAAGCAAATGTGATTGATGAATTACCTAATTTATTGAATTTTTTTGTCATCATATAAGTCAAAATTGACAAATTTGAAACCTCTCCCCTCATACGCAAGCCCAACATAGATTGTTTCTCTCTTTTTTTATTTATTTTTTATTTTTGTTTTATCCTAAAACCATTTGAAGGAAAAATGCATGATTCTATCTTTTTTAACACTTACATCATATCTTTGTATTATATGTTACACAAACAACAACTTTGTTTTTCCTTCTCACATGTGGGGGGTGTTTGTTAGTCGGTATAGTCTATTTTTAGATGTATTGATTCCATGGATTTAATATATATATTTTTAAAAATTAATATTAACATAAATAATTAATTTATGAAATATTTTTATTTTAATTTATTTGAAGTTTTGTGATGACATTGTAGATTGTGATTGATACCATATAAACCAAAATTAAATGATATGAATCACCCATACCCCACCCCACCCCAACCCCTCCCTTAATACCGCAACAAAAACGTTTCGCTTATTTTTTTTTGTTATTTCTCTAATACCAACTAAAGGAAAAATTCATGTTTATAATTCTTTTAATGTAAATATAATTTTTTTGTGTTATATGTTATACGAAAAACTGTGCTAGTCTTCTTTTCACACAAAGTGGGTATTCCTAGGCGATATAGCCAAAGGCTTATCCAAAATTTTGATATAATGGGTGCACTATTACCGAAAGTTAAATCTATGATATAAATTCGTCCGGTTTAACCACATTCTGTCAAATAAAATATTCAAATTTCTAACTTCTCTTAGAGAGGTGCACTCAATTATCATTGCACAACATTATACTATAATTCAAGTATGGATTCACACATCTATATTTAAATACTTTTTAAAAATATAATACTACTATATATGATTTCAATAGAGGAGCATGACTATATATCATCATTTTTACCTATTTTGATTTGATGTGTGTGTGTGTGTGTGTGTGTGTGTGAGAGAGAGAGAGAGAGAGAGAGAGATGATTTGGCCTTTTTTTTTAAATTTTGTCCGATGATTCTTATCAGTTAAGGGTGTTCTTTTACTCTTACAAAATGTAAAAAGTTAGAATTAAGTTTTAACCCGCAGAAACCTGCATAGACCCGCACCCCGTCCTACCCCACATTAGTTTTAAAAAACCTTAACTTCCCCCGTATATGCCTCCACCACACACAACCTTAAAATTGTCTCACTCTACATTACCATAAATCCACAAGGGCCCACATCAAATCAGCCCCATTATCATTCCTATATTTGTGTGTCAATGATCCATGAAACTGAGAGAAAATATTACAGACTATATATTCTTGTAAAACATTCTATGAAAAATACAAAGTAAAGATAAAAAATAACCTGTAAACCACACTCTAAATTAATATCAGATACATACAAAAACAGAAATGAAAAATTTATTAAAAGAGTTAGAAGTTGATAAATTTCTTTTAAAATGATCTCAAATTATTTATCTATTAATACATAAAAATAAAAATGAATTACTGTGACATATCATGCACAAAATATTTACAAGCTTGAACCTCAAATTCTTCCACTAACAAGTCTGAAACTCAATAAATGTAATTTGGAAATTCTTAATCACATAACTCTTACTCCACAATCCTTTTCCCATGATCATCGTGTATTTTATTCATCTTAGCATACGAAACACTCCCAAGCTCAAGATTTTTCATCTCCTCAATCAACTTTGTGTGGTTGGAGGAAAAAAGTGAAAAATTACTTTCATTATGTAACCTATAGTCAAATTTTGAATGAGATTGAGAAGATGAGGGAGTAGAAGGAGGAGGATGAGGAAACAACTCAAATGTTGGCATATTTTTTAGAGGAATTTGTTGAGGATTAGAACAATTTCCAAGTCCAAAAGTGGTAGTACCATAAAAATTATCAGGTGGTGGTTGTAGATGAGGGTTACAAGGAATGATCATCCAATTACCATTTGCACCATTTTCAATCATAATGTCCGGATATGATTGGATGTATAAAGGGTATCGATACACATAACACCAATTGTACTTTGTCTCCGGACGAAGCTCTTTCAGTGTATGTGCGAAGAAACAAATTGGTCTGTTACATGATGTTCTAGCTTGGCACAGAATGGTCCTGTACTTTGCAGGGTGTAACCAGTACTCAAAAACTCCATGACACAATTCGCAATGATCTCCCTTTATGCAAGATTCGAATTTGTAACTTGGGCAAGAAATTGGAAAATAGTTGTATTTTCTCGGGTCACGTCGACGTGCTTTTTCCCCATGATGGGTAAAGGGGCAAGATGTCCAATCATGACAGTAATGTTTTGAGCACTTTTGTACCTTGTAAATGTACATACGGAAATTATCAGATTCATATAAATCTTGGCGAATACATTCGCGGAAATTTTCAGGATTCGCCTCTTGTCCCAAAAATTGTTTGTGAAATGGGAAAGATGATGAATAATAGCTGAAATATTGACTGTCTCTATTATCCATTTGTACAAATGATACAATTGAAGAAATATACAATAAAAATTCAAAAAAAATGATTGATATTCTTCACGAATAGAAAATCAACTTCCCAAAAATAAAAATAAAAAAGAAAGGAAAACTTTCTAGTATGGCTGAAATAGAAACTTTAGATTTTAACTAAAAGAAAAGGAGAGAATTTCTTGTGGAGTAAGAGTGTGGGTGTGGAATAGGTGCTTGAATCATGAGGTTATTTATAGAGTGAAGAGCAAATGTTATGTACTCTAAGGATATATAAATGTGAACTTAAGTTGTAAATTGTCCATTTGAATTCAGGTGTCACACTTTTGTTTTGAATTATTTTTTCTAGAGGTAATGTAACTTATGTATATTTGGAAATAATTTAATTTATATTTTAAAATACTTGTTTTTTCCTATGAAGTATTTTAGACCACCACTATTTTATAAAATGTCATATTTTAACAGACTTCCCTATGCAAATTAGCTTCGTTGTCAAGGAATTTCAAGCAAAAATCTATCGGTTCATGACAAGCCAACTTTAATGAATTTCGTTCAAAACATTTTTGAAGAGCCATTTTTTGATGAATATCATTGTCAATAGTGCTTCATGACCGAATATGTCGCTAATTATCTTGCTAATTTTAGTACTTTCATATTATCAATGTATCACTTATATGTAATTATTTATTAGGATTTAAACATTATATATATGTATATATCTACATATATATATATATATATATATACACACAATGTAACATGCGATATCACTGAATTTGATTGAGTATTTGTTTTAAGATATGTAATATGAATAAGCTCCATTAATACTTTTTGTGTATATTTTAGTTATAACTATTATCTACATGTAAAATTTTAAGTATTAATATTATATCATGAAAAATTGTAATAGATGATAGCAAAAATTAACTTCTTTCATGTGGATCTTGAACCGCTTAATCTTAAATGGTTAAGTTTTGGATTATTTGAAATAAAAGCCTTAAATGAGGATAAGAAATTAGGTTACAAAATAACAATAAATAATTTTTCATATTTTGAAATAAAGAAGCAAAACTCTACAAGGCATCCTAACTACCAAATGCTCCACCTGTTTCTTTTAGGGAAAATGCATAAGTACCCTTCAAATTATGTCCAAAATTCAAAAGACATATTTATATTATACTAAGGTCCTATTAACCCCCTGAATTTATTTTATAAATAATTTTCTATCCTTTTTCGGCCTACGTGGTACTAATTCTTAAAAAAAATGTCAACACATTGGGCCCACAAGATAGTTCCACGTACGCCTAAAAGGGGTAGCAAATTATATGTAAAATAAATTTAGAAGGTAATAGGACCTGAATATCGTATAAGTGTGTGTCTGAGAATTCGGGCATAGGTTGAGTGGGTACTTGTACATTTTCCCTTTCTCTTATACAAAATAAGTAACCCAAAAAGAAGAAGAATAATGAATTCAAAGGTTAAAAAGTTATTTTTGATTCTAAAGAATTTGTATTATTGAATACATAAACATGTTTATAATTTGAAGCATTTCATAATTAGTGGAATCAGTCATTTGAAATATAAAAAGACAATATGTTATAAAAAATTAAATTACATTAATAATATAGATGCTTATTTTAACAGTATCAATATATAAAAAATAATTTTATCATCTAAAAAAGTATTTATGGATGCATTATCATATCTTGAGTATGTGAATATTAAGGTTCTGATTAGGACAGGACCAATTCAAGATCTAAATAAAGAAAGAAGAAAGAAGATTAATTTTTAGACCTTGACATGTTAAGAATATTAAATTTGATGCTTACAATATCTAAATCAACCCAAATAAATTTTAATTAATAGAACTATGAACTTTTTATTTTTCGACCAATTGTCAATCTTCACAAATTAAATGAATTATTCATGTAATATGTTAAATTTTTCATGCTATTCTTTTTTTGAGGAAATATGATTATTGTAATTATAATAATTTAAATATAAGATATTTGAAGACCACATACATATATTTTATTTTATTTTATGTTATATTTTTCATTGAAATATGAAAAGGATAAAAATCATTATTTATCGAAGAATCAAGATTATAATTATCCAATAATAGTTTTAGAAAGACCTTAATAGTAAAATTTCATTCGATGAGAGTAACTTTTGGTTATAAGTTTTTAATGAAGCATTATAAATTGTATGCTTCAAAAGTAAATTTGATAATTGGATTGGGCCAGAATAATTAATAAAGGGTTGCAGGCATATGTTGGTGTAGTCAAATTTTTTCTATGGCTAAAATTGAAATAGCCCAATTTTAGAAGGCCTTTATAAAATGTATATGTAATTATATACTTTGTATAACTGTGTATAAATTTTGGTTAATAATTGATATAAATGTGTATTTGACCATTTATGTTTAATTGTCAAAGCTAATACGCATGTGTGTTAAATTGATGATTGATTCATATGTGTTATATGTATTTGATACTCAGAGCTCAAGAACAATAGAAGAAGAAGAGAAGATTTAGAAGCAAGAAAAAGTATCTAAGTCTAATTCATGAAACATTAGTGAATTAAGACATAAAAGCCTACCAGCATCACATGTGAACGGATCGTCTAAATCCCTTGCAATATTAACCAGAGGTCTCGAGTCCGAGCCATAAGAAGAAGATTTTCGTGATACACACACTTTATTCTTGTCATTGGACTTATTCATTCGTAATCGATTTATATCTGGCAAATAAATTTCAAATATCAATATCTGAAAAAGGCATATAATTAAATTTGAAATTCTAACACACAATGTGTTTATGAAGACTCAATTTTCAACAATGAATACAAAGATAGGGGATACTGATTTTATTTTATTTCCTATAAGTTTCTTTTAAAATATGAGTAATTGTTATACCTTTAATAAACTCAAAAATGTCATATGAATAAAGAAACAAATTTTTAATTGATTTAAGAAGAAAAAAAGAAAGAAAGCAAAACGATGTGAATTGTCAAGATTGTTGGAGAATTTTTTTTATGATTTATTATATTATTGTTATACATATAAAGAGTGTTTATCTCGAGCTATGGAACGATCATAGGCATATATCAAAGACTTAATTTTAGCAGACATAAAAGGAACAAAACTGTTAGAACAATATTATTTAAAAAATTACTGAATTTGCAAATAAATAAATTCTAGCAATAAAAGTAGATCTAGTTTATGAACTCATTAACAACTACAAGAGAAACTCATACCTTTACAAACTGACTACACAGAGATTTCATGATCTTTGAACTGATGATGTACTTACAGGAATTGATTTCATGGCATCTGTGAGCTTATTAGATGTCGCTTACAAAGTGACGCAAATTCCTCGATATTGCGATATATGAAATATCGAAGTTAAGACCAAAAGCTTCATATAAACCTGATAAAACTTTAGAATCCTTAGGTTTGAGAAGAAGACACCTCATCTATGAAGCCTTCAAGAAGCCGACATCAGAGTAGATCGGAGTAGAATGGAAGGGGTCGAGAATTTCCCTATTTTTTGGTCTAAATAGTTATATATTTGTTAATTTTCTTCTTCTATATTAATTTTATAAACCTCATCAATTTGTAGAATCCTTGAGGTTTGAGAAGAAGATGCGTCATCTATGAAGCCTTCAAGAAGCCGACATCAGAGTAGATAGGAGTGGAATGGAAAGGGTCGAGAACTTTCCTATTTTGTGGTCTAAATATTTATATAGGTTCTAGTTCTCTTCTTTTATTTTAATTTTTGCCGGTTTGGGCCTCTGTTCAATTAAATCCATTGTGGGAAGCTTTTAATAAGTGATTATATTTAGGAGTTAATAAGAGATCTAGGGGTATAGTTTCCTTAATTACAAATCATAACACATTTTTGGGGGAGGGGAGCGGTGAGTAAGACTAGAAGAGGGAGGAGAGAGGTGCACGTTATCTAGAAGAGGGAGTTTGAATACGTGTTGTATTTTATTGTATCAAACATACGATTGATACAACTAATTTGTTCAAAAATAAATAGAATTACTGAAAAAATATTTTTTAGCTACGTGTTAGGATGAGAGAGGTGATAGAGAATGATAGAGCGAGGATAGAGCTGAGCGAGACTGAGAGAGGAGGGAGAGAGACGATTGATATCAATACAGGAAGGACAGAGGTGAGTGAGAACAAAAGTGGGAGGAAAGAGGATGAATACATATTGCATTTGTTGTATCACAAAAACAATTAATACAAAATACTAATACAGTTAATACAAAACACAAATACAATTGTCTAAATATAATTGATATAAAATACAAATCTCTCACATATATTTGTTGAATACAGTTGATACACAAAAAATTTGACATAGAGGATGAATGCATATTGTTTTTTTTTTGTATCAAGTCTTATCACAAATATAATTGATTCACTGGATTTGTATCACAAATTGAATTTATTGTATGAAAGAACACAATTTATACATAATACAGATCCAATTGATATGGAGTACAAATACATTTGTGCATGATACAAAATTCTATTGTCTTATTTTGTGGAATATTTTTGACCTACAGTTGTTTGGGATAAAGAGAAAGAGACGGAGAGAGAGAGGTAGGCAAACAAGAGAGATAGAGAGGCTTTCCTGCAAGAGAGGAAGAGAAAGGAGTGTGTGCTAGAGAGAAAGGTTTTCAGATACAAGAGAGAGAGAGAGAGAGAGAGAGAGAGACTGAGAGAGAGAGAGAGAGGAATGCACACGCAAGGTTAACATGCCATATCGAGTATTCACATAAAGTTTGAGCAGATCATAAAGTTGGTCAAGGAGTGACAGTATGTCACATGCTAGATAGGGTTGTGGACCAAGAGGTTTTCTCTCAAGGTTCAGTTGAACAGTCATTTATCTATAGGTAGAGATTGTTCACGCTAAGGCTCATATGGTTATTAGGGTAGATTAGTGCATGCCGTTATTCAAAGTACAAATGGTGTTAGCTGATCCAGGCCTAGT